CCTTGTGCGCAGGAATGGTTTCACGTATTTATAAACTGATATGATATTTAATGATATTCCAGGAAATCTTCTTTATAACAACCCGTTAAGCTTTTCTTTAAATTGTCATTCATATACTATTGCCATAAATTATGCATCATTGTGTACGACAGAAGTCTTACCAGAATAGGTGTTAAACGCAGCATGTATTTTTGCGTTTGATGCAACTCCTAACGTACTAGTAGATTTCGGATAAGCACTTTCAAGTCCAAAGTTAGGATATTCAATCTTTTAAATAGCATTTTGTATGAAAAACACAAATTTTCCAGAAGATATTGGATTAGGTGGTAAAAATAATAATCAGTCAGTAATAAGTTATGGTTTATTATATGTAGCTGATTGAATATTTACTACCCAAATCAATTTATTATCGCCCTCGGTGATGAAGTGATAACGAGCGTGTCACTGAACCCAGGGTTTGCGGGTTCAAAACCGTCCGAGGTAGACGGATTTTTAAGGGTGATAAGAATCCGCTGCACACGGTTGGGAAGCAAAGCAGACTGTCCCGTGTCGTATATTTACGGCATGTATAAGAACCTTTGGAGCATGAACGAGATGTTTGGAAAGCAAAATTAAGCGGCCATATCTCACCCATGTCTCTGGTGACTCGTCGAAAATCCCTACCAAATATCTAAAATAGATCAGTCAGCTCCGGAAGGAGACCCCTATGTTCCACATAGGATAAAAAAGGATATATAAAGAAAAAAGAATAAATCCATTTATTGCAAAATTCTTACGTTAGCTGATTAACGTTTAAAAGCTTGTTGACATTGTTTATTAGACCACATACTTTTGATTCTAGTTCTGGAGACAAATTTTCATTTTTTTAGCTGGTGGTACATGTAGCTAAAATATTATCTCCATGTAATTATTTTTTTTAAAATATTCGCTGCAAGCATAACATATCATTTGAATGAGATATTCCTAAAGCATGCCCTATTTATGCAATAAAACAATATTCCTTTTTTTTGAAGTTTTGGGATTTTATCATCAAGTTCCATTACAAAAGCTCACAGATAAAAGCCTACATGAGAATTGTTTACAGAAAACCCCCAGTCATAATACTCACATGGAAAAATGCTCACACGAAAAAATTCTCACACGGATAAATGCTCACCGGACTGCTCACACAGAAAAATACGAACATAGAAAAATTCTCACATTCACAATACTATCAAGTAATACACTCTAAATAAGGCGTTATATGCATGCTATGAATTGAAGTTCAACTATACTATACATACTAACCTAACCTATACTTGGCCCCGTTTGGCGTTTTGAAATATGGAATTATTTGTTTTTTGTAAACTAAAAATAATGTGAGAATTATTCTATGTGCGTATTTTTCTGTGTGAGCATTTTTCCATATAGGTATTTTTCATGTGAGCATTGATGACAGTGGAGTTTTTCTGTGCGGAATTTTCGTGTGGGCTTTCTTCATGTGAGCATTTATTTGGTCACCTTATCATCAATATCTAGATTCCAATCTTCATCCGAATCAATATGAATTTCTCCTGGGGCATATCAGGTGTTCGGTTAAAAGCTTGTCCAAGAACTCCCCCTTTGCCATCAAACGTGTTTGTACAATAAGCAACTGACTTGAAATTTATGCAAACCGCGTTAGAGATTTAAAATGTCATATTGAAAAAATGTATCAGCATGCTATTGCCACGTATCAACTGCTGTTTTATTTGTCTGTAAATCGTTTGCGTTGGCTAATGAATAATGCCATTTTATATTCTTCTTAAACCGCTTGTGTGAAGACGTGCTGATGAAAGTAGAAGGATTGTCACGAACTCCGCATCTTCGACTGTAGATTAGTGTTTTTTCGTTATTTGTCTGTCAATCTATACTTATGCCATAGTATTCTTGAAATAAATATAGTACATTTATAAAGGTCGTTGCGTCAAAAAATTCTCTTTCATTGGATGGTGTACATTTATAATTGCGCAGATAATCTCTAATCTGTGATGTCTGGTTTATGCATTTTTCAGCCTTTGCTGCTAATAAGAAAGAAATTAATAATATAGTCATTTTATTATATAATAAAATGTCAACACAACAAATAACATTAAATTGGATTATTCAATCAGTGCTTGAAGAATAATAAAGGCACCAAAAGAAAAAAATGGCGATTTGCTACCTGACTGTATAAGATGTATAATTGTTCGTCCCTCTGAGTGTGGTAAAATGACACTCATAATTGACAATTTTATTCATTCGCCTGGTTGGGTAGGCTTTCATAATGTTTATATTTAATCAAAAAGTCTGGATCAGTTAAAGTACAAACTGTCTATGTTTATTCAGACAAGACACCACTAACATGAAACATGTTTATAGAACTTTATAGCAGGAGACTTCTTGTTTAACGAATTCGATTCTCTTTGTAGTAAATGTTAGAATGAAGAATACTGTCGTTTAACAATAGTCATAAGGCAGAAGATTGGTAATGGGAAGTATAGAAATAAAATTAAAAATTTTCTTTGAATTTTAATGGACGAAAATCTTTATTATCTTAATAATTTTAAAATTATTTAAATAATAATTTTAAAAAACCTATACGTAACAAATATTTTGAAAATTAATACGCCTGTTTTTTTCATGGTAATACTTTCTCTCGGTTCAAATGAAATTCAGTTACTTTCAAATCGCAATTGCATCTCAACATCAGCACGTGCAATTGAATTTCCTCTTTCGCATTGCAGTCTAAGCAAAGTTTTAAGTGATCTATTGCAGGTAATGTTTCTCTCCTAACAATTGTTAAAATGTATGGGAACTAAACGTATTCCAAGTTTCTCATTTTAATTCAGACTGACATAGCTAGCTGTCCTGTAAAATGAAGAATATTGGCTCTGTTTGTGTTTAAGTACTCCAAGTTAACAGCATCAAAAGGGGCTATAGGTCCACTAAAGTTTCTTTATCTTTTATTATTAAAACCAGCATCATTGTCAACTACAAATGGTAAAAATTGGATATCTTCTGTTGTTGTTTTCTTTTTATGTAAAGTCGGTAAAACGGTCATAAAAATCTTGAGTCAATACTTTCTTTATAAAATAAAGTAAAATAAAATTGTCCCACAATACGCCAAGCAGGCGCTTTGGAGGAGAGGTATATACCTCCTACTCATTCTTAGCTTCGGCACTAGATAGGGGTGAGTGGTTAGCTTCAGGCCCCGGCCGCGCTTTACTCACGGAAATGGATCCCGTTAGTAATTGGTTAGGATTCTGAGTGGGCCCCAGAGACGATCTGGACGAAGAGGCTAGAAGAAAAAT